CAGCTCAAATTTAGTTGTGGTTGTTTGATACCTACCCAGCCTGATGTCACTTCTGTCACCTAATTTGATGCTGTAAGTTATTAAATTTAAATAATTAAGATATTATACTAGGAATAAGGAAACCATGTATCTGTAGCCAAAAGGAGATAACACAGACGGTATGTAGGACTTTGAAAATCTCACAGGATATGTCTGGCAAAGTCATGTGAATATGTCTACCACAGCATCTGGAGCACAATAAATGCTCAGTAAACACCTGCTTTCTTATTTTAAAGGATGGAGGGTAAATAAAAGGCAGGACAGCCAGATGTGGTGGTGCAGACCTATAAACCTAGCACTCAAGAAGCTGAGGCAGGAGGATTGCCATGAGCTTATTAAGTTCAGCCTGAACTACATAGTGAGACCCTGTTTCAAAGTTGGGGGGAGTGATGCCAGGAAGGATTCAGCAGGGGCCAGGAAAAAACAATTTGTTTCCACTCATCTATGAATTAGTAACAGACCATGGAACTAAACATGAAAAGAAAAAAAACCAAAAAGCAAAAAACAAAAACCCAATGTGGTGAATGAAGCACAGAGGTTTCAAACTGGTGGCTCTAGAGCAGAATAGGTATAGTAACAGTCTGTTTTATCCATACAGTGAAAGAGGAATTTGCTGCAATCATTCAAAATAAGATGTCTGCCCATAAAGATCCACCTTCCCTTGAAGAAAACCAGAGTCCTGACAACTTGGAGGCTCACACGGCAACAATGGGCTGAAGTGAAGTAGCAGCTGTCTTACTGAGATGGGATGCAGGCTCTCCAGTTTGCCAGTTTTCAACACTCACTGTGTATTCCCAGCCCAACTCACTCACTGTGTAGTCTGCCTTGCTCCTAATGGCATCAAGTTATAACCACTATACAGTGAATGTGGTCTCTCGAGACCCCCCAAAATCTGGATTCTAGTCCTGGTTCAGCTACAATCTTGTATATGTGGTGATTTATGTACTTAATTTTTCTGAGCCTCAGGTTTCTCATCAGTAAAAGGAAAACTGCACAAAATGATCACTAATAGCTCTACGATTAGAATGCATTTACAATGGTGGCAATGAACGTGTAGAACAAAGTAGGCTCAACATATTTCATGCTTTATTCCTGAGTCCATTTTCTTGAAATGTTAATTTCAGTTTTAGGCTAATGAATTATCTAGTGAGCTTGGGATAGTCTAAAAAGGAGTATACGTCCTCTGGCACAATATCTGGATCCATTTGTGTGGTCTGACTAGTCTTTTTGTAATTAAAAGCCAGAAGACTATTTCAGATAGATGGGATCACTTACTGTTTTTGATGTCCATATTCATGCCTATTATGGAAATTCTTAGATTCCTCTCTGGGATGGTTATCTAGCCTATGACTAAATGAGTTGCAGAGCACAGAGTCTCAGGCTGCAGACATTCTCAGTGCATACACAGATGAGGTCGAACATAATGAGTGTGATGGCACGTGCTTGCACCCCAAGGTATAGTACTTGGGAGCTGAAGCAGGGGGATTGTGAATTTGAGGCTAGCCTGGACAACCCAGCAAGATCCCATGAGACAGAGAGACAGGCTGACACAGAGAGAAGGAGAGAAAGAGAAAGAGATAGAGATAGAGACAGAGAGACAGGCAGGCAGAGAAAGACAGGTAAAGACCAACATAAGGAAAGTGTAGGCTTTGGAATTTGAAAGCAGCAAAAAAGATCCTGTCAGGACTAGTCAAAAAATAAATGTAACTTGTAGTGATCATACTGAACCACGGCAACTGCTGCTTTAGCCCTGAGTGCTGAAAGTCAGAGCTTATAAATCACCTTCGAGAGAGATGTTTCAGGGCTAGGATAGTAAGTTGGGTCTCTTTTGCAGCATTTAAAACCTGCAAGCTCAGGTGACTAGTTTTACTGTAAATCCATTATTTAATTCAGCCTTCTAAAAGCCCCTGGGAGTTGAATAGAAAAAAAAATGCTATTTATCAATCCTGATTCACAGTTAAGAGAAGCCTTAAGGCCTTAGAAAGCTAAATACCACACATTAACCAAAGCACTCAAGATTTACTTCAACAAATATTTATTGTGCTCTATTTCCTGTTCTGATATTATACAGGGGGATATGAACAGAGTTAACAGTAGCTCTGATTGGTCCAAAGTCAGAGTCAGTGCCTTTGTATCCTCCTTCATCCAAGAAAAACCACTTTTAGTGCAGTTTACTAGAGATAATATAATATCCATAAACTCTTCCCTTAGGACAAAAGTCACAAATAATTAATCAAATCTAAACTGAGAAAATCAAAAGCACTCAATGTTTTTATCAATACGTATAAACTTGAAGGCAAAACCAACTGTATCTTCAATGTATATCCCCATCACAAAATACCCTCCAGAACTCTGCCTCTGCCAATACCCCCAGTGCCAATACCCCCAGTGCTGCGGGGCAAAATGGGCAATTATAATCAAGACTAGGGAAAAGACAACCAAGGATGATATTACTGGCATCTAGTGGGGAAAGGTCAGGGTTGTTGTTTTCCAATCTACAATGCACAGGACATCCCCTATACAACAAGGGGTTATCCAACCAAAATATCAGAGTGCTAAGATTGAGAAGCTGTGGTCAAGGTGCTCCAAATTTTGGCCAGAGGCCTTTGATTTGGAATTTTTGGTTTTTGTTGTTTTAAGACAGGGTCTTGGGGCTGGAGATTTAGCTCAGTGGTTTCGCTGCCTGCTGCACAAGCACAAGAACCCGAGTTTGATCCACGGTACCAAAAAAGAAAAAGAGAGGGTCTTGCTAATGTAGTTCAGGCTGGTCTTGAACTCACTATGTAGCCCAGGCTGGCCTAAAATCTGTGGTGATCCTCCTGCCTCAGGCTCCTGACTGTTGGAATTACAGGCAAGTGCCACCATGCCTGGCCCTTTCATCACAAGTTTCGGTGGCTAACATACCGGCTGAAAAAGCCACAACATTCAATTTCCTTCACCTCTTTTTTCTTTCCCGCAGTCCGGGTTCATGGTAATAAAGTATTACATTTACTGCATGCTCGCTATTTATTTATTTATTTATTCATTCATTCAATGCCAGGGATCAAACTCAGGATCTTGCGCTTACAAAGCAGGCGTGCTGCAACTGAGCTAAATCCCCGGTGCCCATGGTCTTTATTTTTCAATGAAATAAGACATATGATAATAGATAGACATTAAGTGGAAAAATCAACAAAAGTGAACAAGAAAAAAGGAAAGAAGAGGGAGACTGGTTGTCATTTCACAGCTATATGAAGTTAAATTAACCATTCTGCATAGCAGACAATTATTTATTCTATTGTAAATCTGATCTCATCTCTAGACGGTGATTCTTTCCACCAAAGAAACAAATTTCCTGTAATAGGACAAAGGCAACTAGGTCTTTTTCACACACTGTAGCCTCCCCAAGGAGGCATGCTCATGTATCTGAGGCCATCTAGTGGTCTCTTGTGTGGTTTTCAGCTAAGTAGGCCCCAGGACTTTCAACCTGAGTATATATCTGTATTATCTTATATATACTCTCTTATCTATAAAAAAGGAAGTTGAGGGCTGAGGATTTAGCTCAGTGGCACTGCACCTGCCTCACAAGCACAAGGTCCTGAGTTCACTCCCCGGTACAAAAAAAAGGAAGTTGAAGTAGGAAGGACATGGCAGCACACACATATAATACCAGCTACTAGAAATACGGAGGGGAGGTGAGAGGAGTGTGGAGGTGTGGGGAAGGAAGAAAAGGAAAAAAGAGTGGGTTTTTATCTTGGAAAACAAAAGAAGAGTTTCATCTATCTATATCCAACACAATTCAACAAGTGTTTATTTTGCTCCTACCACATATACTAGGCCTCAAACTACAACATTAGCTTCTAGTAACTGCAGCTTAGGGAGAAAAATTTAGCTTCTGTCTTTAAAAAGCAAGGTCTTGGAAGATTCTCAAAGAATTTTTTTTAATGTTTCTTGCCCAAAAGTAACTAAAGAGGTAGGAATTATATGTCAAAACATAACTCAGTCGGTAGGCCCAAAGATGAGGACACTGAAGATTAGCAAGAGACAAGAGTTTCTCTTTTTCTAATCTGGATATAAAATAGCAGGAAGATTCCTCATCCTTTGCCTCTTTTTTTTTTTGGTACCCGGGATCGAACTCGGGTCCGTACACTTGCACAGCAGGCAGCGAAACCACTGAGCTAAATCCCCAGCCCAGATTCCTCATCCTTGAGAATGAAGAAAAAAACTATTTGTTTATCTGAATACCAATTTTCTCTACATTTGTCTAGACTCAGCACAATTACTCAGACCTATCTAGGTGCTCACTGACACTTCAGAACTGCTAAGGCCAAGACAGACAGATGCAAGAATGTCAAGTATTAAAATAAAAAAAAAGAATGAAGGCTCATGCCAAAAAAAAAAAAAAAAGCCAAGTATATTTTTTTAACTGCCAGCTTTAATCAACATCAGTATCTCCATATTTAATGAAACTGAGAAAAGGCTGGAAACTCAGCTTGGGTTCTTCAGTCCCAGTTGTGATGCTGGCAGTAAAAAGAAAACTCAACATCAGGCTCCTCAAACAAAGCTGCCCAACCCATTTCATCAAGAAAAAGATGTCATCCCAAGAGACTCTCCAAGATATATGTCTCTTGGATGGTACTTACGGTGTTTCATTCATCATTGTGTTTTATTTATACACACACAAAAAAATCCTGTCTCTCACTGGCAGGTTAAGGGTATGTGTCTCAAATGCACCTTCTAGCAGCCTGGTTGAAGAAATCCACTATGAATCCAGAGTACTTCAAGCTTCTCACTGTTTCCTCTCAATTTTTTTTTTTTTTGGTACCAGGGATTGAACTCAGGACCTTGCGCTTGCCAGGCAGGCACAGTGCCACTGAGCTAAATCCCTGGCCTCCCCTCAATTGTTTCTACCTGACATAGTGCTAAAGAGAAATTGAGACCAGTTCACAGACATGGGGAAGCAGGAGGCAGAAGGCATTCACCTGGTCACGATCTCCTGCGAAGCAGCAGCTTTTCATGGTGCATGAATTAAAGTAACCCTGATTGTCAAACTGGAACACAGGCAGGCGGGAGTGGATATCATACAGCACAGGAGGCAGGCGACGCCTCAGGGCCAAGAGTTGGGTCCCATTGCTGTTGAATCGCACACTCATGGCACTTTGGAGGGATAGATTGCCACCGTAGCGCAGGAGAGAACTAGAAGACAAAAAGTACAGGGGTCAGGCATGAGATAGGCTGGGTAAGGGTCTGCAAAACACACTAAATTTACTTCTTCATGTGTACTCAGGGTTTCCTGTCAGGCTCATGTTATCAAAATTTCAGCAAAAGTTTATTTCTATGCAGTAGTTAGAAGGTAATAATGATCAGAATGTCAGGCATTATGGCGCATGCCTGTAATCCCAGCATATAGGAGGTCTGCCCCATGTCTGAGGCCAGCCTGGTCTACATGGTGAGTTCAAGGCCAGGCTGGACTACATAGTGAGACCTTGTCTCAAAAACAAACAAACAAACCAACCAACCAACCAACAAACAAACCAAAATGACTCCTTGGTTACATTAAAGCAAATTACTTAAAATGTGAGGACTTCCTTTCAATCTCTAAAAAATTCCACATAAATTTACAAGGCTAATAAAACATCTTGAAAAAAGAGACACATTAAAATCATGTTATTTTTGTTTACCCAAGGAAGTGCACTCTAAAAAGATACTCACCAAGACCCTAGTGAAGGAAATCAATGTCTATTCCAACTGGCTAATCATGGATAGTATTTAAGCAAATATTTATTCACGTATTAAAGACGGAAAAACCATTAGGAAGAACAATGAATACTTCATATTGCTTTTTCTGGGTATTTTTCAATAATCATTACATAAGCACAATAAACATTTACTTTTGAACTTTTCCTCTGCTTCATCACAACCACGGGACAAATATTTAAAGGAAATTTTATAATTTAAATGCAGAGCAAGTAGTACTAGCAAATGAAAAGGGAAGATGCTTTATTTTCCTTTACAATTCCCAAGTTTATATTTACTTTGAAATATACTTTGGTTAACACATATACTGTAATTTCATTTATCTGACTTTACTAGAGAGTGATATGTCCTGATTCACCTAACATTCTGCAGTTTCCAACATCTTTTAAAAAGTCACACAGTATGGTTCTAAATAATTTCTCTTGATGTCTCAGAAGATAGTTCCAATACTACAGGATGGCCACAAACATGAACAATTATACAATACTCACTTTAAAGGGTGTCTCTCTGTGTTTTACCTTTCTGGAAGTAAAAATTATTTTTTTTTGGAGGCAGGGGGACGGGGTCTTGTGTTGCCCAGGCTGGCCTCGAACTCACCACAATCCTCCTGTGTTAGCCTCCCTCCCAAGTGCTGGGATTACAGGCTTGGGTGCAGCAGTTAAAATTCCTGATTACATAATCACTGTATTATAGAGGAAAGACTGCTTGCTGCCTATCCCATAACCAAGTTCTCTTTTTGTATTTCAAGTTCAATTCTTGGAGCACTGAATTGCCGGTAGCAAAGTGAATTTAAGTTTGTGCATCAGGGTACTGGAAAAAGGAATGCCATGTTAGAGTTAATAACTCACAGAGACACTGTTGTTATGGAAAGGATGTGATCCCAGCAATTTTAGAGAAAAAGTTTATAAATACTAGAAATTACAGACCCAGAAATGTTCTCAGGACAAGATTCTTTTTGAAACATTTTTAAGGAAGAAGTTTTAATAGCCATTTCATCAAATGAAAACTCAGCTATATACTACCAGAAGAGAAAATCCATTTTCTTTTTTTCTGGCAGATTAAGAGAGGAAGAAAGGAGGTATCCTATGGGAAGAGGAACCCTGAAACTACAGTGCAAAAGCAACTGCCAATCTGGTATGGCCATAAAAACGCCAACTATAGTCCACCGCACCAACACCAACCATAGTCAGTCCTGTGTCCCTCATGCTTCCAGAGCAGTCTTCTCACCAAGGGGAGGAATGCTCTGGTGCTGCAGCTATGTGGTAGAGACAGGCTTCGGGAAAACAGCCTGTAATCCTCTTATAAGTAGAATGAAAGGGAAAAGAGAAGAGACAGAAAACCAACTCTAGACCTCCAGATATCGAGGAGAGGTCTGGTACCCCTGCAGTGCCCAACTAATAATCCCTGCAGAGAAACACTCTTATAATGGTACTAAACACAGGCACATTCACTCATATACAGAGAATGAACAATAAGGCCGTTAGAGTCCAGGCATTTCCTTTACAGAGTGCCCGGTCACCACAGGCATGTGGTGTTATCTAAATACTGAGCTCACAAACAATGAGAGGCTTTGAATCCAAGATCAGCATGGAGTGTGCAAATAAACCAGCAACTGTAAAACTGAGAAGGGGTGGGAGGTAGAAACAAGACTCAACAGAAAGAAATTTGGCTGGCCCTATCAGCCATCCAGAAGGGCCTCCATCAGCTCAAGCACCCAGACAGGAAACTGAGCCTCTGGCAAACACCCTTTCCATCTGTTAACAGAAACTTCCCTGGCCCACTCTTGTCAGGCCATAGAGGAGTATGCCCAGGACAAGCATGCAGGCCCATCTTATCCCCACTCAAGCTCCTTGACTCACCATTTGTAATATGGCCACAATTCAGGGAGGGCTCTATTTGTGGGATCCAAGACAGTCACTAAATTGTCTCTTCCTTATACTTTTAGACCTCTCACACAAAGAGAGTCACAGGAATCTTACTCTGAGAGGAGAAAGTGAGGTCCTTTGGCTAGGGGGAAAAGCTCTCATCAGTTTCTGCTTTAGGACAGGATGACTTATAAGGAACATGGGACATTTCGTACTACAAAAATCCTAGAAGATACTAGAAATAGGTAAAAAGTGAGCAAATTCAAGGAGTCATAGTTCACCTGGTCCCATTCAAGTGTGTTTACAGTCCCAATAATCCCATTTCTTTTATATGAGTTGGAAAGGGGGAAGGCAGTTAAAGAACCTGAGCTTTCTTTTTTCTTTGATTTGTTATTATTGTTTTGTTTCTGAGATAGTCTTATGATGTTGCCTAGGCTGACCTCAAACCCCTAGGCTTAAGCAATCCTCCTGCTTCAGCCTTCTGAGTAGCTGGGGGTTCAGGGATGTGCCACCATGCCTACCGTTTGTTTTTCTAAGACTATATAACCCCCAGTTTCCAAATTTGAAGTTTATCTAAAGGAAACCAGAACTACTGAATGTTGGGCCCAAGAAAAACACAATGTGGCTGGACGTGGTGGCACACGCCTACTGTAATCCCAGCACTTCGGAGGCCGAAGCAGGAGGATTGCTGTGAGTTTGGGGCTGGTCTGGGCTACACAGAGTTCAAGGTTTTGCTACCTAGCAAAACCCTGTCTCAATAAAACACACACACAAAAGAAAAATACAGTGTGACTAAAAAAGTTTATTGTTCCCTGAACACAATTCACCACTAAGCTTTTCTGGCTTGAAAATTAATTATGAGTTCAGTACACTTGTTGAACATTCAGGCATTTAAGTCTGACTGAGGTTGGCAAAAGGGCTTGACTAAATTTCCGATAAAGATATCATCACATAATCAAAGGGCATATGTGGCCCATCCACGAAGCAAACATGGACAGCAGGTACAATAGAGTTTCTCATCTTCATCACAGAGGAACATGCCCAGAGCTAAAACATCTCTGCTTTTGATCCAGAGATCCCACAAGTCACACAGAATCAACCCAGATCTCGGCGCTATAATAGATTTCTAGGACACTCAATACTTTTCCACAGGATTAAATCAGCTCAATTCTCAGACTGCCTGGCTTATTTACAACTCTCTTTACCATGAGCTTTGGGACTCAGGCAGGAGTTTGGTAAGCAGCCATTTAACCTTCATCTCACACAGGATCAGCCCTGACCTCACAGTGTACAAAACTGGGGAGGAAGAGTTCAGTGAACAATGGTTGGCAGAAGAAAAAAGCAAGGGGAAGGAGGGAGATTGAGATGGCAGTTGCTACAGCAACCTACAGCAACAGTAATAGCACAGAGTGTGGGTGGGAAGATATGCAGGTAAATAGGCAGTCCCTGTGGCAGGAGAAGAAAGTGGGGTGGGTTCACTGAGTGTTAGATAACAAGGCCACAAATCTAGAGGAAAGAAAGGCTGGGGGAAAATATCCTATGCATAAGAGGACTGGAAAACAAAAATCATAATTTGGTACTTGCTAAGAACTCTTACTCAAAAAGTTGAAAACGAGACGGGAGGAAGGTCAAGTAGAGAACTCTTTCCTGAAACTGCTGACTGATGAGACAGGATAATACAAGACAGCTTGTTTCATACAAGAACTATTCACTGAGAATGCATCTGAAAACTAGTCTCCTCTGGTTGGCAGTAATAGGAGTGCCTCAGAACTATGGCTCTCAAATGTTTTTATAGTTATCCTTTGTAATAATTTTATACTGCATCCCAGTATATCACATTTATTTAGCATAAACTCATTTAATATTGCTCACCACCTATTATTTGCAATGCTCTGATTTTCTATTTTTTTGTATTTATTAAATATTCATGACCATCTAAAATTCATTTCATGACTCACTAGATTTTGGAAAAAGGTTGCTGCCTACTTTTTTTGCTTCTATTCTTTTGAGAGAGGGTCTTGCTTATATGGTTTAGGCTGGGGTTGAACTCATAGAGATCCACCTGTCTCAGTCTCCCCAGTGCTGGGATTATAGGTGTGTGCGCCCCCATGTCTGGCCTTGTTTCTATTTTTTTTTTTTGGTACCAGGGATTAAACTCAGGACCTTGCACTTTTGAGGCAGGTATGGTCCCACTGAGCTAAGCCCCTGGGCCATCCTTGTTTCTTTTTTTTTTGGTACCTGGGATTGAACTCGGTTCAAGCTGTTGCAAGGCAGGTGGTGTAACCACTGAGCTAAATCCCCGGCCCTTTGTTTCTATTCTTGACCCAATGCCTCAGTTTATCTTTTTTTTTGTACCGGGGATCGAACTCAGGTCCTTGCATTTGCACAGCAGGTGGTGAAACCGAGCTAAATCCCTGGTCCTCAGTTTATCTTGAGCAAAGTAGCCAGAGAGATAATGAACCATGAATCTGATTATAACAATCCTTTACTGAATACCTCCAGTGGCTTCCCATTCAACTAAATTCCTTAAAATACCAAAAAGACTCTAGACAATCCCTCCTACTCTCATGTTTC